GAGAAGGGAGAAAGAGAAAAGAGGGAAAGGGGAAATAAAATATAAATATCTGATCCATATCAAGATCATTTTTCAAACTAACTTGCCCCTTTCTTGGAAGTAGACACCTTCTACCACTTCACCCCGCTGGCTGAGAATCACGACGGGAAAGGGCTCCCTTCCTGATAGGATGCTGTGAGCTTTTTGGGAACAGTGGGTACTAATGCAAATCACTCAGCTGGTGACCTCCACCTGCAGTTCTTTGTGGGGCTGAGTTTCTTAGTGTTACTTACCCTGCTCTCCCAGTGCTTTCTAGGGAGCTCAGGACCACATCCTGTCATCTTGATGGGATATCCCTAGTACCTGTCTAGCCTGGTACCTGATACGTGGCAGGCCTTCTGTAAATGCATGAGTATCAGATAAGCTTTTCAGTTACGTTCAGTTTCCTTCATACAACAGGAAAATGGACAAATGTGTTCATTTGTTAAAAGAGCATGGATTTTTCCAGTTAAGCAAAAAGTTCAATTTACCAGGCCATCATGCTCCTCAAGCATTTCAGTTCATTAGGGCTTGATAGTTCTGTGATATGCAGCTGGCAAGTTCTGTCATTGTAGCTGCCGACCTATTTAAAAGCCACTCTGACTCTAGTTGACGGCCGGCTCGCCCCGCACCAAAGCAGCACACCACCCCTGTCTGAGGATCCATGATTTCTTGAGAAGTCTTTTGAGCTGCAACACGTCAGCCCTGTCTAGATCCTTTACAGGGGTTTTCTTTTTCCTCTCACCATACATCTACCCAGAAGTTTCAGAATACTTTCACTGCCGTTACTTTTTATTTTATTTCTGCCAATGCTTTTAAGGACTTGTGTCAGTGACACCTTCATACTCTGTAAACAAGTTCAGTAACTAGCGGAAACATCAGATTTCTCTGGGTGAACACAGCCAACCTGTGCTTCTTCCAGCCAGAGGAGGTGCCACTGCAGGAAGGAACACAGATGAGCTACAAGGGACTCGGAACTTCACATTTAGAGCTGAACACTTCTCAGCTAGAAGGGAGCCAGTCCAGCCTCCCAGCAGAGCGGAGAGTTTCTGCAGCCCTGAGCAGAGGTCCCCAGGCTCACATCACATGTCTGTGTTCTGCCCGCTTTGATTCTTGCCTTAAAAAAAAAAAAGTGTCATGGTCTCATTTCTACTTTAATGTAAACCTGCCCACCTTCTGATCTGAAACCAGCTCCAAACTCCACAGCCTTTTTTGGAAACTAAGAGGATGATGATGATGGTAGTGTTAGATGACAATGTTTCTCAGCAGTTATAAGTTATTACCCAAGCAGTAGTGAGGATTCAAGCTCGGGTCTTTGAATCATGACACTACACTGGAAGACGTTACTGATGATCCGAGCGTTAACCCATTGAACTTCATTCCACCTAGAATGACCTTTACTACGTCCCTCTGTGTTTACCTGTCTTGATGCTGCACATCCTTCTGCAGAAGAAGTTAGTGCCACCTCTAAGGAACCTTATCAGCAGAATTTTTACCTCCTCTGAATTACAAAACCCATTGTTTATGTCTTCAACACGTGGCCATACTTTATATTTTGTTAGACATGTGCCTCTTCCCTCCCTTACTAAGCTCCTTTATAGTAGGGATAGGCCATAGACATTTGTCCCCCATAGTATGGTGTCTGCACACAGTAGGCACTCACTAAATGTGTAAATTAAATCTGTGGCATGCCAGGAGGTATTTAGGTTGGCCGTGTAGGCATTAGTGTAATACTCTTGCTTCCTTAAAGCATTCAGAAAACCAAATGGTGGTGGGGTCTCAGCCCTGAGGTTTCTGTGTGGTTATAGCAAAGTGATATATTCCTTTCCACCCAGAGGGAATTTGTGGAGATAATAGCAGTGTAGGTTACCGAGTTGCTAATTATTTCTTCAGCTATAAAATATAATATATGAGATTTGAGAAGACAGGAGCTGCCACTGACTTCTTTACATCTTTTACTAGTGCCTTATCACAGAACCAGACATAGCTGGTGTTTAGCAAATACTCGAAGAGTGGGTATATAACAGATGGACAGATGAATGGATAGATGCTGTTGGATTTGACGTGAACTGATTTTAGTAGCTGTAGACCTCACACGTGTATTGGGTTTCGTTTACTGGACACCCTTCCCTTCAGTTTCTGTAAAAGAAAGCTGAAGAGAGACAGCAGCGACTCATAACACTTAAGCTACTTGGTGGAAAAGCCACTCGTTAAGGACAGAAGTGATCCTGGTGATCCTTTCCTTGAAACAACTACCCACACACGTTAGCGGCAAGGGACGCCAAGAGACTGGAGGAACTCCTAGCCCGCGGCAGCTGTGCAGTGATGGGTATGCTTTCTCTGTGTGTGTTTCTCATGACCCTCTGCTTCTACTCCTAGGCGCGAGTAATGGCAACTATCGGAGTGACCAGGGGGCTGGGGGACCATGACCTGAAGGTGCACGACTCCAACATCTACATAAAACCATTCCTGTCTTCGGCTCCAGAGGTACCACATGAAGTTTTTGTTTCTATTTTGCACAGTAAAATATTTTCTTACATTATTCCTCCCGTGGCTCATGCCCCATATCCAGACAGTAGCCAGCTTGTGTCACGTGTACTTCTGCAGCAGCTCTCATGTCTGTTTCTTTTTCCTACTCCATTCTCACATCTACTGTCTGGTTTCATACCCTCATCGCCTCTGCCCCGATAGCTGCATTGCCCCCTAATGGCATTCCCTGCCTCCTCAATCCACCCCACATATTGCTAGAAGGCAAGTTTTCCTAAACAACTCCTCTGACCTTGTTTGCTTAGAAGCCTTCAACAACACCCCATGGCTTGGAGAGTAAAGCCCAGACTCCTTCTCTTGGCATTCGAGGATCGTTATAAGTTGGCCTAACTTCTTAATCTGATCTTTGTTCCCCTACATCAGCCAGAAAGAACTTATTTCCTTTACATGACCTTCAGTTTCCCATATTTACTTAAACTGTTCCTTCTACCTAGAATGCCCTTCATGCCCATCTCCAAACGTCCAAATTCTCTTTTTCTCTAGGATTTAACTCAAATGTTTCTCCGATGGAGCCTCCTCTAACTTCCCCTCTCCCACTAGAAGTAAAGTCTCACTTTACTCCACGATACTGGAGCAGTTGCCTCTTAGGGCATTTTCACTTTCTGCCTTATAGCATAGTTGTTGATGTATATACTTTCTCCCCTCTTAGATTTTAATTACCTGAAGAGCTTGTATCATTTGGTCGATGTTTGGAGAAGTTAATGTAAAGACAAGTTGTCGTATATTTGGTTAAAAAATCATTTTTCTTACACTACAGGAAACAATATCAAGTTCCCTTCTAGAGTATATAATTTAGAAAAGATTTTTGCTTCTAAGTTATAGCAAATTCTAATGGTAGTTTAGGGGTATATTTTTCTCACATAACAAAGAGGCTGGAATCAGGCGGCTGCTAGTGTTGGTGCAGCACCTCCACTGTGCCAGAGCTGACATCTCTGCTTCCGACTTTTCCTTCAGTGGTTCCAGGATGGAGGGGGCTGCCTTTAAGTCCCAGCAGCTATTCTCTGGCATCTCACTTGCCAGAACTGTATCACGTGATCTCCCCTAGCTGCAAGGGAGGTGGGGAGAGAGCTTTAACTTTTTCAGTTTCTACAGCAGAGGGGAGCCAGGGAGGAGCAAGTCGGGAACCAGCAGCATTTACGTACTGTGTAATTAACTGTTAAAGCAATGCCTTGTACTGGAGATGCCCAGAATGTTTAGCCATAGCTCCATCTGCATGTTCTTTCCAAGGAGAGGTGCTGTTTTAGCGAAGGCTCTTTTCGTTGGAAGAAACAGAAACCCACTCGAGCTAACTCAAAATAAAGGAAAAGTTTATTTTAATGATATTGGAAGAGACGTTTATGGTGTCCACAAAGAAGAACCCTTGAACAGCCAGGCTCTATGGGAGGGTGGCTCTGGACTCAAGGTGGCCCTGGAAAGCCTCAGCAGTGGGAGTCTGTTGCCTCCATGAGGGTGTTCTGCCATCATTGTGGCCAGCCATGTTCTATATGTCTCTGCTGCCAGTCAACCCAGTTCTCACTCTCTCAATTCCAGATTACCAGAGGAATCTCATTGGCCCAGTTCACCTTTCATATTAGGCCACAAGTGACCTCCCAGCCTGTAGATTGCCCCTTCGGATTGTAGGCACACTCCAGAGTCATCAATGGGCACAGTCACCCAGGCCCATACCTTGGCAGAGCTGTCAGAGGGGTAGCTCCTTTAGAGTCCTTTATTGCTGAGGCCGGCATCCAGAATTTGCCTAGCCACAGGAGGTTAGGAGGCAACCAAGAGGGAGCTCTCTAGTAAATATCAGGCATGGAAGACACATTTCCTGATACCACCCAGCAGTTCAGGTGAGGTCAGCTTGGTGTAAATAATTAGCATTCATCAAGAGCCTGCAATCGTCTCCTTTTTATCCCTCGTAGCAATTCTGCATGACGAGGACCATTACCACATAAAATGTCCAAGGTCCCCCAGCAGCTGAGGATCCCTGGTCCCTGTATTCTGGCCAACATCAGGATCCATGAATTACTGCTGAAACTATTCTTGGCCAGAGAAAAACAATAAATACTAGACTCATGGATGTCTGTATTTTCCCCCTTTGTAGAGAGGCATTTATCAGATATATTAAATGGTGCCATCACCTTTCTATTTTTCAGAAGGGACAGTTGAAGTGTGATTCATGTTCCTGGGGTAGGGAGTGTCTCAGGAAGCACTAATTAACCATTTGCTTCTTTAAGCAGAGTGAAAACCACCTCCTCACCCCCCGCCCGCCACCCCCGTACACACATATGCTTTCTATATAAAGTGAGAAGAGGTTTGCTTTGGTTTGAAGGAGAATGATCTCTGTGCGGTTGGATTATAGACCTTCCCATCGCTCTGCTGCTGTGGATCGCAAGAAGAGGTGTACAATATGGGCCTGTGTGGGAGACGCCCTGATGGCTGATGCAGCAACCCCGTTGGTTGATCAGAAACCTCATGCCACCTATCTGGAGTGATGCTGGTTTGCAGGGAGGCGGGTTGGTTGTTTCAGCATTGGTGAGGAATAGGGAAGATTCCAAAGGAAATCGACAACCTCTGAAAAAATTTAAATGCCCTTAGAGAGGTGTAGAGTTGAATTAACTGTAGAGTTTTTCTAATAACAGTAACAAGTCACAATTGTTAACTACCTAGTCTGTGCCAGACGACGTAACTTTTTTTTTACACCCACCATTTCATTTAATCCTCAGAACAACTCTGTGTGGTATGTATGATTATTATACCCATTTTACAGAATGGGAAATCAAGACCAAGAGAAGTGAAATAAATCCCCCAGGGTTGTGTAGTTATTAAGTAACAAGGTGGTATTTGTACCTGGGTCTATCTAATTCAATCAGAGTCTGTAGGGGAGCGAAGCTAAGTTCAAGGACATTTCTTTGCACAGTGGCCAAGGTGCCTACTGAGTCTGATTCGAGGGGTTCTGAAGAGAGCTTTGTCTTGGGACCTCAGTGGCCAGAGTTTTTCATAAAAATACTGCCGGCCTCAGACTGAAGTTGTGGAAAATAATGGTGTAGTAGAAAAAGTAATTGGGAAAGACAGTAATGGCTTTTAGTGTGTGCCAACCTAGGCCAGACAGAATTGTGCAAAATAAGATTGTGCGCCTATAATTTAGCGTAATGGGTATGGAGCGTAGATCCCAAGATTCCTTTGCGTGAGATTAAAATTGTCGTACATTTTAAATGCTTCCAGATGGAGAGGCCTTAGCCAGAGCCAGGAAAGGAGAGGGGTAGAGGGAAATGGAAGAGCATTTTGAATTGGTTACTACAAGGAGTGCAGAGGAAAGCAGATGGACACAGGGGATCCCTCATTCCCATTCCTGGGTCAGCGACTCTTTTTCTCTGGGGGGTGGTGTTAAAGTCGGGCCTTAGGGAAACAGCCGTGGCTCCTGTTGGGCGCCCAGAAAGCCAGGTAACTTGATTTAAACCATCTAATGAAGAAGAACTGGCTCCCTTCCTGTCTTCATCCACCCCACCCCCAGCCTACCCTGGCTTTCTGTGACTTCCTAAGAACATTCCTCCGCTATGCTTCATCTTTGCCAAGTGTGGATCTTTATTTCACATTTGGGTTCTAAATTTCAAACTCAGCTCAGTCTGGTAGTTTTAACGGTCGGGGGGAAAAGGTGATTTAGTTCTAAGAAAAAAGGCTCCAAAATCTTCTTGGAAATCAGCACTGTTCCCTTCATCATTGTAGCTCCTAATTCGATTTGATGAGTTAAATAAAAATAAATAAAAAACATGTGGATCGAATTTACGTAAAAAATGCACAGGGGTTTAAAAATTAGAGGAGGGTTTCTAGCCAAACACATTTTCGGTTTTGCTAAACACAAGGCGCTGGAAAAATCTCAAGTTTGCCAAACCCGAAGAGCAGCCGCCAGGTTTGCTGAGCCTCCCTCCCCTCAGATCCTCCGAGGTCTCCAGCAGGGATTTCTGGCCCAGAACTGAACTCCACAAGAGGCCCCCACCAACCATGGGCAGGCCTGTTCATCGAGGGTGGGAGGCGGTTGGCTCTCCTCTGATCTCAGCACCTTGTTTGCTCTGAGTAACAGCATGAGATGCAGCCTGTACCCCCCACAAGGGAACTGTGCCCAGCCAGGTCCTCTATCCCCTTGCTCGATGGAGCTCATCACCGTTCGCCTTTTTCCTACCATCCTAAAAGACTTCCAGTGGAGAAGAAAGGGTGTGTGAACTAAAGGCACTGGCTCCCAGCCGCTCTGCGTCTCCTTTTCCAGCAGTTCTCCCACCCCAGCCCAGCACACATATCGTGTCCTATTACTCGGGCCGCTTGGCTCAGGCCTGCAGCCTAAACTTCCAGATGTTCCCTGCTCCACGCCCCTTTCTGGCCTGCGACAGGCCCTTCCTACAGCTAGGATTCCTCGTAATGTCACTCTTGCTTTCTGGCCTCTACTCTAAGACTGCGCTGTTGCCTTAGCCCTCTTTGGGGCTCTCGGAAGAACGAGGTCTTTCTCTGCATGGGGGCCAGTTTGTAAAGCCACCCCCTCAACTCAGCAGTCCCCTCCACCCACCTCTGCTAGACTGAACCACGAGGAGCCCAATTTCCTTTCGGCTTCATTTTTCTTCTCCTTAGTGTTCAAGATTCTTGGCAGCTGCTTTTTTGTAACTCCAGCTCAGTCGTGTAACTCATTCTTGGTTTTCTTCACCGTTTTTCTTTCATCTGAAACAGGCTTCTCTAAAAGAAGGAAGACGTTAAAAATCTAGTCTTTGAATTTGAACTCCAGCACCAGCATGGCCTGTGGCCTGTACAAGTTATTTCAGCCTGTCTTTCCCCTTCCTTCAGGTGGGGTGAAAATGCCTGTATTGACAAGGTGCTGGGAAAAGCAAATGAGAACATCTCTGGAATTACCTGGCCAAGGGCCTGGTACGTGGCAGTAAATACAAGTCTTCCTTCCCCACAGGCTTTTAGGCTTGCTTGGCACTTAGGGGTTCTCAGGATTGACTTCCATGTTAAGAGAGAATAACTATTTTATTTGGGACTCCCCTGTTGGAGCCCATGAAAACATGGACGATATTTAAGTTCTCGTGTTGACATCTTAACTTTTACAGTCTTCTGATTCTTGGTAGCTTTTCATGCCCCGAGTCAAAATCCCGTTTGAGGAAAGGGCATGTTTTATCATGCTGTGTCCTTTCTCCAGTCTGGCTAATTCATAAGAAACAATATTGGTGCATAATGACATGAGATAGTGGTTGTACTACTATATTAAGTGAAACAATATGATTGTATATACAAAGAGAATGATCATAAACAAGTAAAAAATGTATGTGCATATTTATACACATATATGTGTCTATATATAAATCTGGAAGAAAGTTTTCTAAAGTAGTAACAGTAATTATCTGGGTGGTAGAAGAGGAAAAACTTGTTTTAAAAAATTCCCTAGACCCCTCAAAAATACCTTAGGAGGCAGTGTGATATAGCTGTTAGAAACTCAGACAGGTCATCAGTCTTGGCTCAAAGTACTATCTCTTCCCTTCCTTGCTGGGTAACCTCGAGAAAGTTACTTTACCTAAATCTCAATGAAAGGAGGACAATGCGGTTGCTATACTCAAGAACCTAAGGAACAAATGACCTATATAAAGTACTTAGTACATAAATTGGCATAATAAATATTAGCTCCTAGTTCCTCTTCACATTCCATCAAAACCACAAAATTTCTCTTTACATACAGATCATGGGGCCATAGCATTTATGAAGTAGAATACTGGGGATATGTCCTCAAGGAACTAGAGTTTTGGGCCAGTTGGAAGGAAGGTGAGAGTAGCCAAAGAATGATCAGAGACAAATCCTGTGGTTCCTGCTTCCTAAAAGACTAGGGGAAGTCAGAGAAGGGAGAGACAACGAACGATATAATCTGAAGAAGGAAGTGGAGGAGGAGGAGGAGGAAGAGGAGGAAGAAGAGGAGGAAGAGGAAGAGAAAGAGGAAGAAGGAAGAAGAAGAAGAAGATACATAGGGCAAGGAAAAAAAGGAAGCAGGAGTGAGTCTGGTGTGAAGTAAAATTGGCTTGACAGGGCCATGGACTTTGGAAAAGTAGCTTGAAGGGCTATTTGCTATAATAAAGCTAATTATGGAGGGCCTTGAACTGGACCCATGGCAGTAGCTAAGGTCTTCAGGAAGGGGAGAGCATGATCAGCGTGGCAGTGAGAGCCTTAGCCTGTAACAACAGGTAGATGGGGGAGCAGAGGGTTGGGGAGATGCAGACACGGAGACCGCTGTAGAACTGAAACTCTGGCATTGAGGAGCTGAGCTAGGACAGGGACTGTGAAAAGTAAGAGGAGAAATACCTGAGAGACATTTCAGGGGAAAACAAACAAACAAACAATGTAACAAGAACTGACGGCAGGTTTGATTTAGAGGTAAAGCAGAGCGAAATTAAAAAGATAATAGTAAACTTTGCTTTCTAGCCTATGAGAAAGGAAGAATGTTGTTGCTTGCTGGGGTCTGAAGAAGAAAAATAATTTTATGCTTTTTTCCCTCTGAGTTTTTTGAACCAATTAAAAAAAATAGACATAGGAGTCCGATGAAAATAACTTTATAGCTAGTATAAAGCTAGCTTAGAAACCACGGTTTGGATTTAAGAATAAAATGGACTTGTTATTCTTCTCCAGCCCTCAAATTAAATTTACCCACTGAGCAACTGTGCTCTCCCCGCCCCTGCCCGCCGCCCACCCCGCCCCGACACACACACACAGGGAGGTCTTCCTATTTTTCCACCTGCTGCAGGACTGGAGCAGAGGGAGCAAGTGCTGCTTACAGACAAGAAAGGACAAGGAGACATCTCCAGAGGGCTCGGTGTCCCATATCACCGATCCTATGGGGAGAGAGAGGGCCGGGAGTGTTATAGACACTTAAATACAGTGCCTTTGCTCACTGCAAAACAAAACACCCCAAAACCTAGAGGCTTAATAGAACAATTTATTGTTATCTTTCATAGTTCTGTGGCTTGACTGGGCTTAGCTGGGTGGTTCTCCCTTGGAGGCTCTTGCATTGACACAGCTGGATGTCATTTGGGGCTGGAGTCAAGTGAAGGCTAGATGGGCAGCAGTCCAAAATGACTTACTCACATGGTGAGCAGTTGATGTTGGCTATCAGCTGAGAGTTCAGCTGCAGCAGCTACATATGGCCTCTCCATTGGTTTCGGCTTCTCATGGCGTGGCAGCTGGATTCTGAGAGAAAACATCCCGAGAATGAGTGCTTTAAGAGTCCCAGGCAGAAACTACAAGGCCCTTTAAGGCCTAGCCTCAGAAGCCCCAGAACATCAGCTCTGTCACATTCTAGAGATCTAGGGGATTGCTATGACCAGTCCACATTTGAGGAGAGGGGAAGAGCAGCGTGCTCGTATAGGGAGGGAAGGGACTGATGGCAGCCACCTTGGGGACCACCGGCCTGTAGAAGCTTCCTCCCTGCTGTGAGGTCTTGGGTATTAAAGCAGTGATCATCTGTCTTTCCAGTGCAAACTAACAAGTTGAGTTAGCTGCTTAGTTAATTATGAAAGGAAACCTAGCTTGTACTGTAGAGGCAGATTTACAAAGAAAGTAATACCAGGGCCCTTCGCTCAGACCAGCCCTTATGGAATTCTGGTTGTTGCTGGGAAACGGAGAATGTTCTAGATGGCAAGGAGGAGCAAGGTTACAATCAGGAATCTTCTGTAGACAATACTCAATACAAAAGGACTTCAATTTCCAAGATTCCAGTGGTTCGTCACAATTTCTTTTCTTACTCTGAAACATTCACATTAGTATCTAAGTGTGTATTCTTAATTATTTCTATATTCTTTTTCTTAAAAAGCTCCCAAAATTGTATAAACTTCAGGCCTCACAAACCATGGTTCCCCTGTACAAAGTGAAAATGATGAGTTCTGTCAGGTGCTTTGATGGCAGTTTTCCTCCCCACCCCCAGGTTGATTGAGAGATAATCGACATATAGCATTGTACATGTAACATTAATAATAATGGCATGTAACATTGTAAGATGTACAATGTGTTGATTTGATATATTTATATATTGCAAAATGATTACTACCATAGCATTAGCTGAACAGACATCACCTCACGTAATTACCATTTGTTTTTTGTGGTGAGAACATTTCAGATCTACTATCTTAGCAGTTTTTCAAGTATATAACACGCTGTTGTTAATTATAATCATCAGGCTGTGCATTAGATCTCCAGAACTTACTCATTTTATAACTGGAAGTTTGTCCCCGTTAGCCAATACCGCTTCACACTGCCTGCACCCCTTCCCTCCCCCAGCCCCTGGTTACTACCACTCTACTCTGTTTCTTCAAGTTCGGCTTTACTGGCAGTTTTCTCAATGTCACCAGTCTCACGTCTGCATCATCTCATATATCTGTCATCTCAGTTGGGGTGATATACCCTTGGGGCTATATGATCCTCTCCCGCCACCACCACCACCACCAGCACTTGGAAAATGTTTTGAGGAAAGAAAACATTTCTTTCCCCAAAAATCACATGTGAAGAGTATATAGAAGCTGCTTTGATTCTGGTGCCATGTGACTTTTCATAGGAGTGATTTCATGATTTAGCTTGTCCGTTTGCATCTCTAACTCATGAGTCTTTCTGTAAAAATCACTTATAAGCATCTGTGTGTCATTTACATGGGTTGTTCCCATTGGACAGTGAGTTGAGATTTGCTAACCAGCTATTTGAATAAAACCAGAATTTGAAATTTACTTTCACACACACACACACACACACACAACCCCACTAGCTTGACAACTTATAAAATTGATATCCACACAAAGGGAGCCATTTCTCTCATTGGAGATTATTTCCCTCTGACCCCCTCCTGAAAAATAATTTCATTCGAATTTTACAGTTAAACATGCAGTATCTTTTTTTTTTTTTTTGCATTGATTTATTGCATTAATGTATATAAGAACGGTTTGAGAAGTCTGTTAAAAATGCAAATCCCTGGAATCCATTTCCTGGAAAATCTAAATCACTAGGTCTAAAAATCTAAATCACTAGGTCCTAGCAATTTTCAAATTTTTAGACAATTTTGAAGCAAGTAATTCAAAGACCGCTTTTCGAATAACACTATCATAAGTCATTCTTCACTGTGATTCAGGAACTTCAGTTTTGCAATCCTAAAATGGGTTTGTGATACATCTGTGCTTTAGTCCTGGATGCAAGATTCATTCTTACAGCGTATGGTGGCTCACTGCCAGGTCGTTAAGATAGAGATCCTGCACACCTCCTTCTCCCCTTGAACACAGGTCTGCTGAGACCTGGGCTGTTTGCTACCAGAATAACTGCAATCAGTGGGGTTTACTGCCACACAACAGGTGTCCCACAGTTTACCAAGGATGATTATGCCTCCTCTTTTAAGGCCAAGATACATAAGTCAGTTGTTCTCTTGCTCACTTATGATCTCTGAAAACCTGCCATTGTGAAGAGTCCCGTGTAGTGCTTACATGCTATGGTTATTTTCGGTCCTGATGGCCAGAATTGGCAACTAGAAGAATACTGAGTAGCAGTCATTTCATTATTTGTGTGTTAGGTGACCATATAACTTATCCTCTCAACCAGGGCATTTTTGAGAGTCAAATGGGACACTATTAATAATTGTGCTGGAAAGCAGTACAAACCAAAACCGTCTCAGGCAAACAGGGATGTATGGTCTCTGTGTATGCCTCACCTGCCTCCTGAATGAATTTGATACAACTCAGTCCATCTACACTGCACCCATGTACTCTCACAGGCTGGGATTTCTTCGGATCCTAATCTCTGTAAATGGGCATTTTAGTGAATGCAGACTCATTCCTCAAATGATTAATGAGCTACGTTCAAGCCCATTCATTCACTGATTCATTCACTGAGCCTTGGAATCAGTGGTGGACAAGCCAGTGGAAGCCCAGAGAAAGCAGATCATGGAAGTGCCCCGGCGTGTAAGTTGAAAATCCCTTCCTATAGCTTACCTCACTGAGTTGTAAGCTTCGGGACTCATGTGGAGAAAATGGAAACCTATGCTCTAGCAGCCAGCCAGACAGTGGGTACAACTTCAGGCTGTCTTGACATTGATATTTTATCTGGTTTAGAAACTTTCTGAGATATTAGATTGTATCAGCTCTCCAGAGTCAACTGTTTGTAGCCTCCAAAAAAAAAAAAGAAACTCTCAAGAATATCTGTGGTATAGTGCAAGTAGAAGATTATACCCACAGCCAAAACAGCCAGCTCCTTTGGGGTGGCATGAGCAACCAACATATTTGTAATACTTAAGTGTCCCTTGATTCATTTGCAGTCAAATGCTTTGAGGTCATGTGGTCAGTCACATCAAGGTCTAACTTATTCTATGATGAAAGAGTAGGAGAATGTTAAGCATCCCCAGTGGCTACGTCGTCCTGAGCTTTCATTTCACAAAGGGCGACATTGAAGATGTGAGAAGCCATGCCTCATCCCTCACCACTTCCCAGCAGAAATCCAGCACTTTAGCCAAACCAAAGTATGGAAAGCCGCCAAGCACACCAGCCTTCTGTGACATCCCCAGCCTTTGGCCCTCGCCATTCCCTCTGCGTGTAAGGCATGTCATGTCCAACGCCTCCTCCCTGACACTCTCCATATGACAAATCATTAGTTCATTCACTGTTCCCAGCAGGGGTCAGTGGACCGAAAATGCAGAGGTGGGTCTCAAACCCAAGTCCTTTGCCGCCAAATTCAGTGTGTGCTTCATGACATCATGTAGTTTAGAGAGAGTCACAATGGCAAATTTGGATGCAATCTTGGTGGCCTGACAGAATGCCAATATTGAAATAATCTACTTAGTTTATAGGACCACAAGGAAATATGAGAGTTTTATTTTCTTCTAGTACAAGTGCCAAATTCAGAGTTCTACAGGCTGAGCTTTCGATTTGGCCAAATGGGGCAGAAGGGACAAGACTTTGTATGCTCCTTATTTTCCACCACCTATTGGCAGCCTTTACCTTGAGAACCACCTGACTTTTCTGCCAAGAACACTTCAGAATCCCAATCACTGTCATTTTAAATGAAGACTTCTGGAATGGAATCCCAGCTTTCTCGAGCCCACTCTTACTCATCTCCTTCCATCAACTAGCTTACTTTCAGGTGTATCGCCCTGAGATCGGTCCCATAAAAAGTAACATGTAGCGCATTAGAATGTGTCATTTCCCTTCCATATGATCTCATCTGGTCTTTAAAACAGCTTTGTGAGAGAGGTAGACATAGGTGTTTTGTTTTGTTTTGTTTTGTTTTGTTTTGTTTCCCATTTTACAATGAAAAATTGACAGCTAAAGAAAATAAATGGTTTGTCTCAAATCCCAAAGCCAGTTAGAAGCAGAGACCTGAAGTGAGGGCTTCTCATAACAAAGGCAGGACTCTTGCTCCTCCAGAAAGTCAGGCCTGAGCTGTGGGAACTCATCATCCTACACTGAGACCTTAAAAGGAAAAAAAGGTTTGGAGAATTTGCTGAGCTGATAAAGATGTAAAAGCTATGAGCGCATCATAGAGAAGCAGCCGAGATTTGGCAAATGAAAGAATTGATGGATTCTTTTTTAAAGTAGTTTTAAGAGGCCAGTGTCAGCTTACAGTAGCATGAGCTCTCTTAACATGCTACTGAAATTTCGTCAGTAATAGAGCAAAGATGCGAATACATATTAGACAAACGCTGAAATAGCAGACTGCGGCTGAGCACTAAGTGGAGGTGCTGCATTAAAGAGCTGCTTGTCACAAGCTCCTGTGTAAAATAGGTGCCCAGTGATGACATTAAGGACCTCTCTAAGTGCTCTGAAGCCAAGGGCCCTACTAGAGCAGTCAGCACTTGGCTCATTCAGGGGTGCGTTAGCAAGGCTCTTCTCTGCCCTCGACTCAGTCCTGCTCCCTCCTTGACACTGAGCGTTTTTGTTAGTTAGCAGCTCCACTGACGACAGGGGAAGAAAGGGAAAGTCTGCTGCTTCTATTAAACATCAGTGTGTCACATTTTGGTGACTGCTTGGGCGTATCCGAGTTAATAAGCTAAATCTGTTGGGCCACCATGAGCTTGGGGGTCTTTTGACTGTATCTCATATGTTGAATTTTTTTTTTCCTTCTTCTCCTGTTTACTCTGTCTCAAGAAGAATGTCCTGAAAGATACTGCTAGGCCCACAGAAGAATGCAAAATGGGAAGCTGGTCTCCAGAGGTTGAATCTAGGGGGTGGTGGGGGGGAGGATAAGATGACCAACTCACTGGATGTTCATTTTAAGCAGGGCAAGGGTAAATGTCCAACAGAGAAATGCTTCCCTTGGTTATTTACTGAATGGTTACCAAGTGCTGGGCTCTCTGCTCTGTCGTGGGGACAGAAACAAATAGGACAGCTTCAAACAACTAGAGGAGCTTATTGCCTAGAATAGGGTTTTTAAGGCTCGGTTCTCCTACCACTTGCATCGGAATTACCTGATCAGTGTTTAAATAGGCTGATATCTGGGCTCACATCTACACAATCAAAAATTTTAAAGGTGGACCCTTGAATCTGAATTTGTTTAATTAGCACCAAGTGATTATTAAACACATTTGAATTTGAGAATAACTGATTTTGTGGAAGAGACAGACAAGTGAACCCAGACTGGTATAAATAGGTAAATATTGTGGAAGGATTGTGTGTGACTGTGGGGGACCAGGGAAAAGAAAGATGCTGCTCTTTGGTCTTTTTCGGGATTTCTTTGGCAGCAGAGGGTGCCAGACACACTCTCAATGCAGAGAAGTGATGGGTCCCCGAAGGAAGAAAAGGAAGGCACCAGAATAGACCTTGGCAAAACACTTCACTCGTTCAGGTCTCCGTTCAAATAGTGCCTTCCCAAAGAGGGTCACCATAACCACATCTTCTGAAATGACTCTTGTCACTCTCCTTACCCTGCCCGAATTTTCTTCAGAGCACCTACCCACTTCTGACACTGGAATTTATTTGTGTTCTATCACATCTACTAGGTTAGAAGTTGTGAGATACTTTGTTGTTTTGTTCACGGCTCCAGTTCCTGGAGTAGTTGGCACATAGTAAATGCTCAATAAACACATAATGAAGGCTCCAGGCTGCCAGATAGATCCATACAGGCCTCATCCCTCAGCTACCCATATTATATTGCTCTGAGAAACTGCAAGAACCTCAAGGATTCTTGTGGCCTCTGTCCCTTTCCCAGCAGATGGGAACATGGGAAAGAGCCACTAGAAGCCCTGACCATGTTCTCCAGCTCACCTTCAGACAAACATTTGTGTAATACATGTCTCCCCTCCCGAGACCTGCAGAGATTCTCTCTTCCTGATGTCTGAATCCTGAGGAGCCTCAGAGCCTATTAGGTTGATGTGAGTCTTCTTGGAACATTAAGAAGCTATTTAAGGAATTGAACAGGAAACTTTGGGGAGAGGAGCGTGGTCTGATTGAGGAGGGCCAACAACAGCTTCAGGGAGGGAAGGTCAGGACTCCGGGGCCCGCCGGAAACCTTTGAAGCCCTTGCCACTGGGGAGGATGAACATGTGGTGGGATGTCTTGCGTAGAAGTCCAGTTTTTCTGAAAGCTTTTTCACAAAATGTTCTGCATCACAGGTTAATGTATAAGACACGAGTTGTAAGTGGAAAGTTGGCAAAGTCTTTTGGAAATTGGCTAAAGGGCAGGAAACAAAGGGTAGCAGTAAAAACCTAAAAGGATGTTAATTAGGGAGTACTTCAGGGAATTTGGTTGAGACCAGCTTTTTATTATTTACGTAAAAATTACTTGGAGAATGGTACTGAAAGGGATACCGTGTTGGCTAGTGAAACTGTATTAGAGAGCTGTGTGGGAATGTGAATGGTGGAATTAGGGAAGGATTCAATTTAGTGATAGAATTGAAAAGGAGCATTTTCTAACATGTTTCTATTTATCAACTCACACCCATTCTGTTGGCCAGATTTCCATTTGAGAAGTGGGCAGGGCAGTTTCCCCTTAAGCAGCTCTAATCTCCACATTTTGGGGACCGGCAGAAAGTACTCGAGGAGATATTGGCAGCCTACACAGAGGGCAGGTCCTGAAATTAAATGGTTGTTAATTTCAGACCTAGAAACCTCTCTTTCGGAAGGAGTTGGAAGGCAGATGGACAGTTACAAGCATAAGATTGGACCACCTGACGTCCATATCTTCTCAATTCCCCTCTTAACGTTTTCTATACCCTGGAGCGCAAATTATCACAGAAATTTATTGTAGGAATACCCCGATAGGAAGCTAGCAGTCTATCTTAAGCAAAGTTATTACCTATCGAAAGTAACAACAACACAGTGAGCTAGAACTTGAAGTTCGGCGCTTAGGAGTGACATTGGCTAACCTCTCTGTAGCTTACCCTAGGGGTAGTCTATGTAGGCATCACAGAAGGCACTGAGCCCTTGATTTCTTCCTTACAGACCAACAGGAATCCTCTATAGCCTTGGTACTCAAAAGTGGACTTGCATGCAGCATCAGCAGCACATGGGAGCAGGTTAGAAATGCATCCTCTCAAGCCCCACCCCAGAACTGAGTTAGAACCTACATTTTAGCAGGATCCCCAGCTGAGTCCTATGCACATTAGCATCTAAGACACACAGGAACCACAGGAAATAAAGCAAAGGGGATTTGGTTGCTTCTGTAGAGTGAAAATTGGACCAAATGAGTTCAGTGGCCTAAGGACAGAATTCTGGCATTTGAGACTTTCTGGTCTGCTGCAAACTTAAGATTCTCTCCCTCTCTTTTCTTTAATTTGGCCTCATAAGGCACAGTGCCTTCACTAGTACGTAAGCTTATCCTTAAGTGAACACGCCTTTTGAGAAAGTGTTAAAAGCCAGTCCAGTACCGTATACTCCTGAATGCGGTCCATGCACTGGGCCATTAGCTAATTGTTGCCATCTAGTTCACAGGCCACAGAGGTCTGGCACCTAGAGGCTGCTTTTCATTTTTGCTCATTTTCCAAGGGCTCCGTGGGTAGTTGTGGGATATTTTGTTTTTTTTCTGCTGCTGGGTATAGACTGTTAGTCCACAGGACCAGCCCTGTAGCCTGGCCAAATCTTTCTAAAACATAGGAGGCTTGATTTTCCAAGACATGGATTCGAACAGTCCGTAAGCTTCTTAGAATTGTATTCTTTCTAGATGTGAGATGAAATAATAATGACTGTGGTGATGGGGCACAGGAGCAGCTGTTTATATGACTTCCTTCCTCTCCCTTTCCTTCCCATGGCTTACAGCTTTTATTCAGACTCATTTTTAGAAAATAGGATCGGGTCATAAGGGGAATTGAAGGAGCTGGAAGATGGATGAAACTAACCTGCCTTTGTCCTCGGCTCATGAGTGGTATAGGCAGGGGCCAGATTAGGAGGGAAGAGCAAAGAATCCCAAACTCTTTCTCTCTCCACCCCACCAAAGCAGGAGGAACAGAGCTATGGCCTAACCCTAAAAGACTTGATTTTTATTCTTATTAGTTTTGCCAAGATTACTCTGTTCTTTTCAAAGAGTTTAGGTAGATGTTGAAATATCCAAGTCATTCCAGGTACTAGAGATGAGGAAAGACTTAAAGTTTGCCAAGACACACTTTGGAGATTCAGACTTAGAATACATTTTTTGTCATCGAGGCTAGCTTGAGGCTCCTCAAACCTGAGTGTAGCATCAGAGCCCCATCCTTACATGAGATGTGTCCCCTTGGGCCTCAAACAGGTCAGCCAAAGGGTGATTCAAGTAAGTGCATTGAATAAAGTGTATCTCCTTAGGCCTAGACCAATACATACAGAGATACTAAGGATCCTAGACTGGCCTTATCTCCCTCCAGACTGAGAGCTCAGAAGCAGGGAAATTTGCTATTAATCTTTATACTTAGAGCACCGGCCCAGAGCAGGCCTTCAATTAATACTGGCAGAATGGATGTGCAAAGGGAGGAAGGAAGAAAGTCTTTGGCTGCCCTTGTGGCCAGCATAGTGCCTACTGTAAATCAGCGTTCCAGCTACATCTCGAGAATTACATTTTCGGTTAATTTCTTCTTTGTCAAACTTTTAAGCCCACCTGTTGAGTCCCATATGTCTGTACAGCAAGTCTCCTCTGGAGGCTGTCTCTGGCCACAAAGCTTGCTATACAATCAGGTACCTCAAAATGTGTACCTGAAAATCCCGGGCTTGCGCACGCAAAGGGAAGGGAAATCAGAAGCCAGCTTATTAGAGGGAATAACGTGTTCCCAACTTCTTTACCTATTTCCCGTTTGCCCTGAGAATACTTGGTGGCGCTTGCGGCTGCAGCATTTATCCCGAGATAACTCGCAGATTACAGTCCTAACCTTACCCTCAAAGTTTGCCACGAACTATCTTGCTTTTATTATTATTTTCGCATCACTCTAGTATAGAGATAGTCTTTGGAAACAAATGACATCATTCTAGTCACAGCATTGTCTTTATTTTTATTATTTATTATTTATTATTATTAATGCCTATAGCACTCAGTCTTCCTAGGTGGTCTCCCATCCAAGTACTAACCAGGCCTGACCCTGCTTAGCTTCCAAGATCAGACATCGGGCTTGTTCAGGGTGGCATGGCCGTAGACCATGGACCCTGGCTCCACTGGACCTTCTGTGTGGAAAGCAGACGTGCTAACCGCTACACTATGGAACCACATCAACAGCGTTCTATTTTTAGTAGTGGTATTTCCATTTACAAAATATAGGAATTCTCGATCATCAAGAATGTCAAATCCTAGAAAACGTAGCATTCCTATGCACAATGTTAACATCCTTCTCAAAGAGTTATTAGCCAAACATTCATTTGATGAATCAGATTTACACACACATTTCTGTTACAGTGGCATTAAACAAGTTCTGCTTAGAAATAACTACAAGAACAGTTTTTTAATTTTATTTTCACACTGAAAACCAGCCAGATTTGCTTCAGCCTCAAAGACCGTGTTTATGTAAAATAATTAAGTAGGACTATTCCTATTCTCTTCAGGTAAGAGTCTATGACCTCTCCAAATATGAGCATGGAGCAGATGATGTGCTGGTCCTGGCCACTGATGGACTCTGGGACGTTTTATCAAATGAGGAAGTGGCAGAAGCAATCACTCAGTTTCTTCCTAACTGCGATCCAGATGACCCTCACAGGTTTGTGCATTTCTATGGCTGTAGCGTTATTCCTGGAGCAGTGTTTCATGATGTGACTGAAATAAATAATCTTTACAATTTAATCATTCACGATGTATAGTTGAGCTGATACGGATGGTTTAGAAACCAGACTGCAGAAGGGACTTCATTTCTTATTACAGGTACTTTCACAGCCAATTAAAAAATCTTCCCTAAGTTGAACCTAGATATAAGAAGTAAAGAATTCAATTTGTAAGATATTTCAGTATCTTAGTTCATGCCCTCTAGAGTGGGATAGTCTAATTTGTGATTTTCCTGAAAAGAGTGATAGCAAGTGCTCCCAACAAATATTTTCATCCACTGGGGAATTGTTTCTTTTGAGAAACATTGAAAAAGAAGAGAAAGATTAAAGTAGGTATTCCTTCATAGCATAATGGCAATGTAAATGGTCTAGACAACCCTAAGTGACTCTTAGAAATAAACAGAAATCCCCTCTGGAGAAAGGCAGCTTTTACTTAAAACACAAAGCAACAGGTCACCATGAGTAAAAGCCAGCAGAAACAACAGACAACAGAATTAGACCTGTAAATACTTCATTATTGGATTTATCAGCCAAATATATAAATAAATATTTTAACATGTATCAGAAATGTTTTTAAAAGCACTGAAAATATGGATATATAAAATATCTGCATAGATTTTAAAAATAAGGAAATGGAACTGGAGATGATAAATGTAAAAATAGAAGCTAAAAATTTCAGTGGATTAAGGAGATTAGAGACAGTTGAAGAGAACACTAGTAAACTGGAAAATTGATCTGACTATTCCAGAATATGGCTCAGAGAGACAAAGAGAAGGTAAAATGTGAAATGAGAGTAAGAGACCAGAAGGATAGCCTAAGATGTTATAAATAGAATTCTAAAAGAAGATGGGAAGAAAAAGAAAAGTTCTGGAATTGTTAAATGATACTAAACTCAAGATCCAGAAATCCCAATAAATCTCAAGCAGAAGAAACGAAAATTACAGTAAACATTTCATAATGAAACGGAAGAACTTTAAACAAACAAAAAAAGATGCTAAAAGCAGCTAGAAAAACAAGAGATAAATAGGAATAGCATTTATACCGACTGCTGACTTTTTAAAAATAACAATAGGAGCCCAAAACAGTAGAATTATATTTCAATTGGCTAAGAGAAGAACTCAATTTTTAGAATTTTCATATGTAGGTAAAAATATCAATAAAAAGGATGCAGTAAGACATTTTGAGGCAAAACAAAAACTGAGAAATTTTACTGCTAGCCGACCTCCTCTGAAGAAAATCCTAAAGGATATACTCAAGTAAGAGGAAATGATCCTAGATGGAAGATCTCAGAAGATGGGTTATTAAGCTATTAGTAAATAGGTAGGTTTATTTAAATATACATGGACTATATAAAACAGTAATAGGAATGTCTTATGTGTGGTATTAAAAATGACAGAATTAAAATACTAAATAAAAATAGCATATAAGGGGTCAGGAAGGGACAGCTAAATTATGCCATGGGTCTATTTGAGAAGACATTAAAGTGTTTAAACTTTACGTTAATGTGTTTAAAATAGGTAAGAGAACTAAAAGAACAGGTCCTATAACTTTCAAACTAATCAAGGGATAAACAATCCACATGGGATTAAAAATCAAACTTCTAAACATCTTGTAAATAAAAAATTACAATAAAAAATTAGAAATTACTTGGTCCTGAACAATAAGAATACTACTACATATCAAAATTTTAAAGGATGAATTTTCTAATTGAATGAGCTGTGCATAAATGACGACTCTGCTCACCCCTGAACTGCCAGAAGTGACTATTTCTCCCCTCCATGGAACAGAATAACTTTTTCCAAAGCTCCTCCCTGAATCACAAGGAATCCCTCCCCCATAAATTCTAGACTCTTGACGACAGGAGAAGAGACCCTTAACCATGGAGAAAAATATTTCTCAGAGTAAGACCTTGAGGGCTGGCTTGTGTTTCTAGGCTAGTTCTGCCTACAATATCCACATAAACGTGTAGAAAAGAATTCTTGTAACTTCAGGGTTCTAAAGAACCAAAGAAATGGAGCTATCTATTTGTGGACTATGTATTCTTTTCCTGTGTACAGGCTCTTAGTAAACAACCATCCTAATTTAAAAGTTTATGTCTGTACTCCTTATTTCAATAACATCTTTCTTTAGAAGTGAAAATAGCACATTAAACCTAGGATAAATAATAGAAGGAAAAATTAAATATAACAAAATAGAGAATATACAATAAAAATAAACAACAAAGCCAACATTTGGTTCTTTAAAACAGCAGTACTCAACCTTTTTGGCACCAGGGACTGGTGCTCCTATGATAATCTAATGCCTGATGATCTGAGGCGGTGATGCTAGCGCTGGGGAGCGGCTGCAAATACAGATGAAGCTTCTCTCACTCTTCTGCCCGCCACTCACCAACTTCTGTGTGGCCCAGTTCCTAACAGGCCAGGGACTGGTTCCCATCTGCCACCCGGGGATTGGGGACTCCTTCTTTAGAGTCATCTTCTTGGGTTTATATCTCAGATTTGCTACTTGCTAGCTGTATAACCATGGGTTAGAAAAAAACTAAGCCTCAGTTTTTTAATCTGTAAAGTGGGGATTATGATTAACACTTATAAGTTTTTTTCTGGGAGATGTTGCATTAAATGAGATTATGTAAGTAGATCATTTAGCACAGTGTCAGATACATAATCAGAGTATGTGCTTAGCATAACATTGTCATCATCATTATCATTATCTTCTTAATTGTAAGTTTCTTGAGGACAAAGACTATATTTGGATTCCCAATGCCTGGCCTATAGTTGGTACTAGATAAATGTTTGTTGAATGCAGGCAGAAATAAAATAGGCAAATATTAGTAAATAGGTAGGTTTATTTAAACATACATGGACTATATAAAACAGTAATAGGAATGTCTTATGTGTGGTATTAAAAATGACAGAATTAAAATACTAAATAAAAATAGCATATAAGGGGTCAGGAAGGGACAGCTAAATTATGCCATGGGTCTATTTGAGAAGACATTAAAGTGTTTAAACTTTACGTTAATGTGTTTAAAATAGGTAAGAGAACTAAAAGAACAGGTCGTATAACTTTCAAACTAATCAAGGGATAAACAATCCACATGGGATTAAAAATCAAACTTCTAAACATCTTGTAAATAAAAAATTACAATAAAAAATTAGAAATTACTTGGTCCTGAACAATAAGAATACTACTACATATCAAAATTTTAAAGGATGAATTTTGAGCGTTTTTTCTAATTGAATGAGCTGTGCATAAATGACGACTCTGCTCACCCCTGAACTGCCAGAAGTGACTATTTCTCCCCTCCATGGAACAGAATAACTTTTTCCAAAGCTCCTCCCTGAATCACAAGGAATCCCTCCCCCATAAATTCTAGACTCTTGACGACAGGAGAAGAGACCCTTAACCATGGAGAAAAATATTTCTCAGAGTAAGACCTTGAGGGCTGGCTTGTGTTTCTAGGCTAGTTCTGCCTACAATATCCACATAAACGTGTAGAAAAGAATTCTTGTAACTTCAGGGTTCTAAAGAACCAAAGAAATGGAGCTATCTATTTGTGGACTATGTATTCTTTTCCTGTGTACAGGCTCTTAGTAAACAACCATCCTAATTTAAAAGTTTATGTCTGTACTCCTTATTTCAATAACATCTTTCTTTAGAAGTGAAAATAGCACATTAAACCTAGGATAAATAATAGAAGGAAAAATTAAATATAACAAAATAGAGAATATACAATAAAAATAAACAACAAAGCCAATATTTGGTTCTTTAAAACAGCAGTACTCAACCTTTTTGGCACCAGGGACTGGTGCTCCTATGATAATCTAATGCCTGATGATCTGAGGCGGTGATGCTAGCGCTGGGGAGCGGCTGCAAATACAGATGAAACTTTGCTTGTTTGCCTGCCACTCACCTCCAGCTATGCAGCCTGGTTCCGTAACAGGCCACAGAACTGTACCAGTCCATGGCCAGGGGGATTGGTGACCCCTGCTTTAAAACAACTAACACATAAGGGAAGTACAAATCAAAACCACAATGGAATACCACTTCACACTCATGCCTGTGTTTCCTCTGTCTGGATTGGTCTCTTTCCCCTCACACCCCATTGTAAATATGCTCTTTTTGGTCTTGCCACAATCACCACCTTCCCAGTGAAGTCCTCTCTTAACGTTTTTTGGGTAGCCCTTCCTGGAAGATAACCTCCCAGGTAACCCAGAGCTGCTCTCTGCAGAAAATTTTCAACAACTTTCTCTTCTAAAACAGGAGTGTAGTATCACCTTATGTTAATTTCTATAGCACAGTCTTTATTTTTGCCCTACTTTATTAAATTTTTTTCTTTCATAAATCAAGCTGCTAAGTACTAATAAAAGGTATATGCTTAATTTTTTTTAACCTTTTTATATAATTACCATATGATCCAACAATTCTGCTTGTGGTTATACACCCAAAAGAGGTGAAAGGGACTCAAAGAGATATTTGCATACCCATGCTCACAGCAGCATCATCCACAGTAGCAAAAAGGTAGAAGAAACCCAAGTGTCCATAGATGAATGAATGAATAAACAAAATGTGCTGTCTACATGCAATAGAATGTTAATCAGCTTTAAAAAGGAATAAAATTCTCACACATGCTACAAAACGGATGGACCTTGAAGACATGGTAAGTGAAATAAGCCAGTCACAGAAGGACAGATATTTCATGATTCCATTTATATGAGGTATCCAGAGAAGTAAAATTCATAGAGACAAAGTGAAATGGCAGTTGCCAGGGGCTGGTGGTGAGAGGATGGGGAGCTGGTTTGAATCTCTGTTTGGGAAGATGAAAACATTCTGGAGATAGATGGTAGTGATGGTCACGCAACAAAGTGAATGTATTTACTGCCACAGAACTGTACACCCAAAATGATTAAAATGCTAAATTTCACGTTATATATATTTT